GGGGCAATTAAATTAGGGGAGGGGTCAATTAAATAAGGGGAGGATCTTTGGTGGATCCTGGGGCAATTAAATCAGGGGAGGGTTTTTGGAGGTCCCTGGGTCAAGGGAGACACGGAGAGAGAAACAGAGCAGGGAAAGAGAGGTGGGAGGAAATGCAGGACACAAACACAACCAGCTGAGAAGGTGGCACTGAGAAAAACAGAACTGCCATGGACTGGAAATGAACGGCAAAGAAATCAGTAAGTCTGAAAGTTTTATTTCCTATCGAATACATCCCAGCCACCCAGCTCCACACAATCCCCATCCCAGCGCTCCAAATTGGGATCCCACTTCTCCCCATCTTCACCCAAACCCATCCCACCCTGGCAGTTCTGGAATCGAGTGAGATTGGCGGGGAATTGAGGTTTTTTTGAGATGGGAACAAGGAATTTGAGGTGGGACTGAGTCTCTGAGGATTAAAATTCACTTGTTTTCAGTGGGAGGTGAGAAGATCTGAGGTGAACGAGTAATCCCTCTTGGCTTTTGGAGCACAGAGAGGTTGAGGAGAGAAAACAAATGAAGGCCAACAGAAAAGGAGAAGCAGCCAGGCGTGCTATCAACGTGGATCACAGGGAATGTGGGTCACCAGGGCTGTGCCCAGTGTGGCTCCTCCTGTGGGGGATGGAGTTTAGCTCTTCTTGCACGCGGGGCACTCGCAGGGCTTCCCTTACCGGTGCCTCTCTTTGTGTTTGTTCAAGTTAGAGCTCCATGAGAATCTCTTCCCACACTGGGGACACTCGTAGGGCCTCTCCCCAGTGTGGATCCTCTGGTGCTGGATCAGGCTGGAGCTATGGGCGAAGCTCTTCCCACACTCCCCACACTCGTAGGGCCTCTCCCCAGTGTGGATGCGCCGGTGGGTGATGAGGGTGGAGTTGTTCCTGAATCCCTTCCCACAGTCGGTGCAGCTGAAGGGCCTCTCGTCCTTGTGAACCAGATAGTGCTGGAAGAGATTGGCCCTGGTCTGAAACCTCTTCCCACACTCAGAACACTCGTAGGGTCTCTCCCCAGTGTGGATCCTCTGGTGCCTGAGGAGCTGTGACTTGCTCTTGAATCCCTTCCCGCAGTCGGGGCAGCAGAAGGGCCTCTCCTCCGTGTGAACCAGATAGTGCTGGAAGAGATCGACTCTGGTCTGAAATCTCTTCCCACACTCAGAACACTCGTAGAGCCTCTCCCCTGTGTGAATCACCTGGTGCCTGATCAAGCTGGAGCTGCAGCTGAAGCTCTTCCCACACTCAGAACACTCGAAGGGCCTCTCCCCAGTGTGGGTCCTCTGGTGCCGGATAAAGTGGGATCTCATCCTGAAGCCCTTCCCACACTGGGGACACTCGTACAGTCTCTCCCCTGTGTGAATCACCTGGTGAGTGATGAGGTGGCTTCTCCGGCTGAAGCTCTTCCCACACTCCCCACACTTGTAGGGCCTCTCTCCAGTGTGGATCCTCTGGTGCT